AACTATAGTAAAGTAAGGCGAATTTCCGGTAAATGCCAGTTCCTCAAGTAATGATGATCAAAGATGGACACCGCGGAGTTAACACATTTGAAATGAAGTAATCTAAATGGAGTGGTCGGTTGACAGGGTTCACAACGATTTCAACAAAAGACCCTGAGAACGTCATGAGCGGACGCGGGCGGTTGCGTAGCGGACGCGGGCTGGAGGTCATGAACATTGCCACCCTTTCTCGAGAACTATTGCGTTTTGTAGCAGTGGCAGCAACGTTTTGTAACGTCTAATCCATACCAACCAAAGCGATAACGGTGGACGAGACTTCCCAAACGTTTTTCTAGAGAACGTAATGTATTTAATAGTAAGTGGAGGGTCGTGCAGGCCTCATGCGATTCACATATAACTGGAAATAATATCTGGTCTAAATAAATTAATAATGTAGCGCATGGAAATCACTTTTTTACAGCCTGGCGTCAAACGCCAGCGTATGGATCATCGTCTGTTGACATCGTCGTTGATGCTCATTGATCGTACGGCAAATGATGGTAATGGCAAGATGCCATCGCTACGTACGTTGGTCTCACTGGCGATGGTGATCGACGAGCCGGAGATTCTTGACGGAGATCGCACGGAGGTGATCGCTTTGATTGTGATATTCTTATGGTTCAGGACTAGTTGAAAGAATAGTCGGCGCAGTGCCACTTGAGGCGGGGGACGTGGGGGGAGGGTCGTATTTGGTAGCCGAGAGAGGGGGGTCGTATTTGGGCTGAGAAAAATTTATTTTGATAGTTGATTTTTCTCGCTTCACGGACGTTGTAAAAGGGGGTCGTACTTGCTCGTTGTTGGGAGGGGGGGGGTCGTATTTACTTTTTGGCCTTTCTGGGAGAGGTGGTTGACTTTTCGTGATTTTCCTGTTTCATGTGTACTATATACCCCCCTCCCCCCTCCCGCTCGACAGCAAAATTTTTGGGAAAAAGTAGGGAAGTTTTCGGGAAATTTTGGAAAAGTGGCAGGAAGCTTGGGAAAATCTGAGAATTCGAGAATTGGTAGAAGGGGGGGGGGTCGATTTTTCCCGCGGCTTTTCCCGTTTCACATGTGCTATTTAACTCCCACCTTCGCTTGACAGTTCGATGAGGAGGGACCGAGGGCCGGAGGGGGGGGGTCGCACCAAGCCCAAAAAAAGAGGGGGGTCGTAGACTCGACCAAAATCCTCCACTAATGATGTGCCCCTGCAATGGGAAGTAATCTCTGGTGAACGTACAGTTAGAACTTTCCGTTGACGCGTTTACATAGAACGCCATGGGTAGAGCGAGAATTAAAAGGTCTTACCCAGTGAGAAAAAATAAGATTAAGTCGGATTAGCCCTGCTTCCTTCGACATTCGAGCTGCAATATACCTGGAGAGCTATACGAAGGCGCCCCTCTTATGGTTATCAGCCTCTTACGAATGAGTCTAGCGAATTCAGATGAGCTTTCGCGCTTGCGTGCCGGCCGATGAAATCGCGTGCGCCGAAAGTGAACGTCGTCTGCTGACATGGGCTATCGACTGGACAAGGCAGGTGGCGGATATGGAAGACGCCATCAGCAACACTGACAAGGTCTGTTTGAAGACGATTTCATGAACTTTTTCCCTCCGTCTAGATAAATGGACTCACCAGATTTACTTGTGAGCTAGCAATGGTCTCACCAGCGTCAGTGGAAAAATGAATATTCAGCGGCTTAGACAAGCTTCATCCTCTGCTCCATCCCCCGCAACTGCCAAGTATCTACACCTTGACAATTTGTAGTACTTCAGGAATCTTGATATGTTGCCTGTAAAAATACTACACAAACGCTCCCCGCCTCGAGGTTGCGAGCGCCAGCTTTTGCTGGAAGTGACCT